CAGGCAACTCTCAGCTACCCATTGCCTAATCAGAATACAGACTAAGTATGAAATCCTAGCCTTTTTCTTAATTTACAACTTCATTCTATTTTCACTTTTATGGCTAGGTCTACTCTTTTTAAGAGGCAAACAAGCTGAAACACAGGTTGCTCTTGTAACTCAAACAAGATTTTTTAATTTTCAATTATTTTTCTTTACCCTGTCCCAATACTGAGAAACAAATTAAATTCCAGACTTGTTTAAATCTACTATTTAAAGAAACAATCTCCCAATGAAGTGAATGCACGCATGTATATTTATATGAAATGGTAAAGATAAAAGAGATAGAGCAATATTGCCTATTTATACAAAAATGTACTCTTAGATACATATCAAATATATTTATCCTTAACAGCTGTTTAGAACTGTTGGTATTTCAGGGCAATTTAGTTTCAACAGCAGCAGTAAACTGCACTTAACCAATGTAGAGTAAACCAATGAGAGGCAAAATAATCAGAAACATAAAGAAAAGTACAATTTTCGAACTGCATTAGGGTCTTGAAACATTAAATTTCTACAATAAGCTTGATCCTGAGTTAAGAATTGTCTAATATGCTGGCAGTTCTTATTTGTAAATTGAACAAATATGGTTACTAATGAGAGGTACAGGCCTCTCTCAAAGCCACCCCAGCTGCTACCTAGCAGAGGAGAATGGCACTTAAAGTGTTTTCAGTCAAAACTGACATGTCTTCAGAACTGTCACTTCTGCCCTTCTCAAAAATGCAAGGCAGGTACCTGTATTAGTCTTGTTTCTTGCTCCAGGGATCTTCTGAGATTTGGGAGGGATAGGTAGTTTAGGAACACTTCTGCTACACACTGGATTTGCTACAGGCATATGTAGAACCTTGAAAGAATCAAAATATCCCATTACAATTTACCAAAAGACTAAGGAGAACTTCAGCTTTAATTTTGAAAAGATAGAAGATTTATTTATAACATGCTACCTGGCGAGCAGGTGCTGAGAAAGCATTTCCGTTTTGTCCCACTACTGAGAGAGGGATCATTCCCACCATTCCTTGCAAGACAGGTTGCACTGGAGATGCAATTATAATAGCAGAGCCTAAAAAAAAAAAGGGATTAAAATTATACAGAAAATAAAACACCTCAGTGAAAATAAAAGCACGAAGCCAGGATTTCTTAAAATTATGCATGGTCAAAACCTGTGGCAAGAGAAGGTTTAGCTTTTAAAGAAAAGTAGGCTCCTCAGCACGACTCTTACAAAACAAGATGAGTACAAGCGTTATTTTTAGTTTTAAGTGGATTCTTAAATTAAATTTTGTTTTCCTCCTTAAAAAATGGTTCAAAATGAAGCTTAAAGTACAACATACCTATGTTAAGGCTTGAAGTTATAATGAATTTAAAAAACAAAAAAGTAACATTACATAGCTCATCTTGCTGTTTAGCAAACATAACCAAGTATTTGCATTCTATTCCCCACAATTAGCATGCCCAGAAGTTGATAGCAAAAAACAATTCTTTTTTTAATCTTCTGGTGCATCCAGCAGAACACCTTCGTCCTAGGACTGGAAAACTAGATGAAAAAGGCTAGTTTTGTCTATATGCAGATATCTAATGTATACTCCTGGCTGCTAAGAGGTGTCAAATGCAACACCATAGTTCATTAGCGGGCTTGAAATCAATTGATAAAAAAGCAAAAAAAAAAAAAAAAAGCATAATGAGATTTATATAGACGATGTAAGCCAAAGTTTCTTACTTAATGCTTTAAATCAAATCCAGTCTCCTAACAGGTTGTAAAAGATTATGGCTACCAGACACATAGGAATCATAAAATAGGGAAATTAATTATAGCATGTTAACTGAAAAGTGATGAACTGCGTAGAGTATATTTTTCTTTCAGCTCCATGAACACATGCAGGAAAAAATATCCAATGTAGAAGAATGGACATATTTCTATTTCTCTTCCTATGATAAAAAGCTGAAGATAATAGTTGCATAAAGAAATCCTAACAGTAAAAAAAGCCAGCACTCTGAAGATTCTGCACACAATGTTGTACTGACCTCTGATCACACAGAAGTTCGAGGATAACTGTGACAAGTTTATACTTTTGGAAAGAAGTCTTGCAATTTGCTGGTTGCAAGCGGTTTATATTTATGGTTGTGTTTAACACTAGAAAAGCACTTAAAATTAAAAATTAAAACTGTGTTAATAAAAATGCTTGCAGCAGGAGAGCATTATTATGGAAAGAAAATAATGTTCTACTTTTGTCTAGATGTACTAGAGTTTTCACCGGTGCAACTCTTTCACAGAAAAATTCATACTCACAAGCAAAATATTTGAGTACTTTGAGGTAAATTCCACAGTGTAAACTAGTGGTTTTTTTTTTTTTTGGGGGGGGGGGGGGGGGGGGGGTGGGGAGGGGGAGACACAAGAAAGTCATTTTGGATAGTCTATCTGTATCCAGCCAGGTATCCAGACTAAATATGAGTACCCACGACACACAGGAATTTACTTGCAAGGAACCTTATTAAAACAAATAAACAAATACTAAAGAGTATTAACAATATTAAAGAGTTGTAACAAAATTTAGTCAAATATATAAAACAAAACATTAGCATATGTGAGCCTGCTTTTTCTCTTAGCAATATACTCATTCTTTCTGTTTCAAGCTATTATATTTAAAAAATGACCTCTGTGACTTTTTTTCCATTAAAATGGGATCAGAATTGGTCAAATACTGGCCATTAGAAGCAGCATTCCTGAAATGCAAATTATCACTGATAAATAAAAGATGTACCTAGTAACGCAGAACATTCCACTGCTTTATTTAGCAGTTTAAGGTAACGTTAGCTGAAATACTGTCATCTTTTATACTGCAAGCCAAAATATCCTTAAATTTACCACTGCTGAAATCATGTAACGTGAGCTTCTGAACTATAAGGCTATTTTTTTTTTGAAGCAGCATAATCTAAGACTCTTGTAATTTTTACTTCATTCTTAATAACAAATAATATAGTCAGAAAATACATAATTCCTGGCTAGTTTCGAGGGGCAGATAGAGCACTGTTTGAAAATTTATTTTTAGTGCATTTATAAAAGCAAGTGAGAACAGCTGTATGTATGCAACAAATTTTCAGTGATTTTTTTAAAACTAGATTACCTTGTGGGAAGTTTGGAGAGACAGTCTGGCTTGCTGCAAATGTATTGCTGGATCTAGGAGGAGTCCGTAACTGCTGTACTGCTGGAGCTTGGGCTGCAAGTGGCATAGAATTGCTGGGCAACACAACCACGTTCGACGGAGTTACAGCGGTGCCCAGAGTAGCCGGATCTGTCACGCAGGTGGCTATGTAAAGGTTATTTGAATTGCTAAAAGCTGTGCTTGTTGCTGGCATCAACTGTATAAATCCCCCTTCTTTGGAAAGATTAGTTGCACCAGCAACTGAAAAAACAGTACAATCTTCATTCTGAGTGTTAACTGAGCTGACAACAGGATCCTTTGGTCTAAGTACAAGAAGATTCTGCTCTGCCAAGGCTGAATCCACGTTTTTTTCAGTATCTTCTGAAGTTAGGCGTTTGGACAGGCCTGCAGTTTTGGTTGGGGATTTGGCCGGAGAAGATAGTATTATAGTTGGCAAATTTTCTCCTGTGATGCTGGAAACAGCGTTATTTAACTCAGTGTCTGAGGAAATAAACGGATCATCACTGATGATGATTTTGAGGGACATTATATTCGAAGGATCAACATCCATTGGCTGACTACTAGAAGACACACCACTAATACTTTTGGCCTCGGTGCCAGACTCGTCTGTGGAGGATGCAGTTTCTGGGAGAGGGGAATGGCATATTTCGGACGTACTGAGATTATTTTCAGTGGATGCTACAGAAATTTCTGTACACGCATCATCACCAGAAGAGAAGAAAACATTATCAGCATCTACTTTTGTAGAAGACGAAGGTTCTTGCATTTCCACTTGTGTTCCCTCTGAGTTTGATAGCCCTGAAGGGAAGTTAAAATCTTTCTTACAAAGGTTATTGAGTGTATGCTGATCATTTGAATAAGGTTTGTTAGAAGTATCAACAACTTCAAGCTGCAACTCTGTTTTGTCAAGATCTGAAATTTTCACAGCAGATCTGGCAGCACAGTCTGACTGCTTACCCTGGTCCTGACAGTTGGAATGGTGGCTAGAACTCTGCTGTAAAACACCAGGTAATGTCGCTGTCTCATTTGTTAGAGCCTCTTGTTTTCCTAAATCTGCTGATTGGCTAGAAATTGATGAATTATTTTTTCTTGGCAGTAGGCTGTGGTCAGGACTCCCATCAGAAGGGCTTTTAACATGTGCTTTTTCAGATAGCGATGTATCTGGTGATAACTGACATTTACTTCTAGACTGTGTTCTGTGATCGCTGGCTGCAGTACCATTTGTCAGTGAAACTAAAGAAATCTGTGGACTACCAGAATGAACGTATTCCAAACCAGGACTACTTTGAGCATTATGACTTAGTGTGTCTTTTTCGGTTTCCATAGCTCTTTCACTTTCAGACGCTACTGCAGCTGACTCTTTATCATTGTAAGTATCTCCGCAGTGTTCATTATGTGGACTATCAGAGCTATGTCTTTTGGTAGATTCAGTCAAACCAGGCACAGAGTCAAAAGGGATTTCAAGCTCTCCAATTTGTTCAGTGGTAACTGTTTTAAGCATTTCAGCCTGCTTTCTTGGTCTACAATTTCCATGCAGCTGTTCATTGGCTGTATTTTTCTTAGCCATGTCATCATCATTAACGCTATTCTTCAAGGCACATGATGCTTCTCCTAAATGAAAATCTTTACAGGATAGAGATTCTCTAGAATGATGACCTGTAAAATAGAGACCAAATTGGTTCCATAATGATTACAGCAGGTGATTCTATTACAGGGTTTTTACAGTCACAAATCACTTTAATGGAAAACTGTTTCACACAAAACTAAATGGGAACAACACTACTCATCTAATCCTTATTTTTAAGCTGAGTAGAAAACATCTGGTTAGACTGGACAGATCAGGTGATCTGGTGATTCAGTTTGTACATAAATAAGTATATATGTAATAACTAAATGGCTGAAGTCACTAAATCAGATTTCCAGAAGCTCAAAAGAACATCTCAGGAAAAAGACCTCTTACTCTATTTCTCATATACTCTCTCTAAATATCTGCTACTGACGGACTTGTCAAGAACAGAGTAGACAGATTAGACATACTTAGTATGCCTATGTATACTTAGTCTCTAACTTAGTAAGACTCTTTTTGTGTACTAACTAACCAGTACATTACAGAACAGAGAGAAAAGATTAGTAGGGTTCAATGTAAAATACTATCTTTATATTTATTTCATATGTTCCACACTGAAAATTGCAGAGTGTCTATCTGGAATGAGTAAATGGGTTTTGCAGACATTCTGATTTCATTCAGGAGCTCATCAAGCACAACTTACAAGTACACTGATGGACTACTTTAAATTTAGCAGTCTGAAACTCCGATAGACTAGGTGCAATTGTATGTCCATGAAATGTGAACTTCAGATTGGGTATTGTCATCGAAAACATGAAGCCTTTGATATATAGAATCAAATTGTCTGAAAGTATTCTCATAATAAAAATGAACACACTAGAAGAGATCTGGGGGGGAGGGGAACCCTACACTTACTAGTTTCTTCTGTTCCTAAAGAACTTTCCAGTGTTTCCAGGTTATTTTCATCCACCAGGATTGTATTTTCTACTCCATTCTGACCAGAAATACCAGTAGATAAATTCTTGTTTATCTTGTTCTTTCCTGTTTTCAAAATGAAGCACCAAGAATGTTTAAATGCATCGTTTTACACACAAAAGTAATTAACACATTTTTAAATGAAGCATATGGATTTTAAATTCAAAAATCCCATCCTAAACTAAGTAAAGAACAACTGTTGTTCTACTTTTATTTTTATTACAGATCCAGCAATAGCATAGAAACAACCTTACATTGTACTTGAAGATATACCTGATTAGACAAGTAGAAGAATTTACAACAACAAAATAGAAAAACAAACAGGAACTATCACCCTTTGGACCAGAAGAGTCTAAAATAGCAGCAATAAAACAATCACTGCGAGTAGCACAAAACCTGAATTTCAACTATGTGAAAACGCTCTACTGTATAGCCACAAATAAAGACATATGAGTATCTCATTCTGAATTGAGGGATGCAAATGCCATAGAGTCTATTTCTCTTGCAAAAGAAATCTGCTGAATTACCTTGCTTCTTCAAGAAACATTTGTAAAACCTCATCATTCATGATGCTTTATAATAATAGTACATCGAGAATAGTATACCTACCATAATCAAACAAGTCAAAGAGCGCCTGAAAAGCTGGATCTGATTCTGTCTGTTCTAGAATGTCCTGTATCGCCTCTTCTGACATATGAATTTCACCCTGAAAAACAACAAGACATACACAACTGTCAGACAATTACTTTCATACTCAATTAAAAAAAAAATTGTTTTATTTACAAATTGTTTTCAGTTCTATTATTTCTGCTCAGCAGTGAAACATGAATACTAATGTTGGAAATATTTCTTCCACGAATTTAATGTCTTTAAAAAAAAAAAAAAAAACCTAGTGATTTCAGTGTTTTTTGTCTTCGTCAGACATTACACCCTGCATATGCTTATGAGAATATTCTCCACATAACAAAGACTAAATCTCAGGCTATACTGGAAGCTTATACAGATGGTGTAAACAGCGTGAGCCCACGCTAACCAGCCATAAGATTAAAAAAAAATCCTCAAATTAACCCTGATTTCTTGGTTTTGCATATAATTCATTAATTATGATCGACTAGGTAAAGTTCCAGAAGACAATGCTAAAAAAATGAAGTTTTATTTCATTTATCCATTCGATGTTCTACAATATAATCTCCAATTACTTTTCTATGAAAGGCAGTAAGAAGGCATGTCTACATGGGACACTGCTCTAAGGTTCCCAAGCCAAGTTGACTTGTTTGGCAGCAGCCAGGAGGAAAATGAGTGGAGCAGTCAGTACAAACTGACTGTTCAAGCAGAAAGTCTCTCCCAGCCTTCAGGAGATCCTCCAAGCACTTTACAACCCTTGATACTGTGGTTTTAAGGGTGAATGAAAAAGATCCAGAAAATACTACATGCTTTTTCCTAGGATATCTGCATACACTTCTACATCTGACTGGTGAGAAGTAGACCTGATACCGCTAGCCTGGAGAGTGCTATGAGCCCAAGATTTCCTGTGGATAAAGCGGAAGGGAAACCAGTCTATTAAGAATGCCTTTTTGATGTGAAAACTATGCAAAATATCAGCCAAAAGCCTAACTATTCTAGGCCATACTCAATCATTAGCTACTTCGTAAAGAATTTTTGGCTTGTATGGAACTTGGGTTACCCATACCACAATTAGGTCTAGGGTGTCTTATAAATTAACGTTTTCAAGATTTCTCACTTGACATGACACAAGCACTTATCCTTTGGGTTACCGATTATTAAAATCGGCACAGTCCACGAGGTATGCTTTTTTGATTGTTTTGTCTCAGCAACCAAGAAGCTGCTTTGATTCTGTTTTGCTCAGAAAAATGGAATACAGCTTTTCAACTGTGGATTTCAACAAATATCCATTGGAAATCACCAAATGACAGAGGATAGCATTTAAAAACTAAACACCTCTACTCTGAAAACAATGAACTGCCTAAACTCTCCTTCCATTTTCATGACGACTATGAGATTATTCTTTCCGTCATTAAGGGCCCCTGTGATTGCCAGCTCAAGGGCTGCAAGACAGCGGAGGGAGACCATTAAAACGGAAGTGTGTAGAAGCAGAATATATTTATCCTCCGAAAGCAAGAAAATACTGAGTTGTATTTAGGTTCCAAAGACAGTATCTGTTTCTACATTGGATGGCCAAAGTTTAACTAATAGCAAATCTGGAAAGAAAAAAAAAAAAAATCAGACCAGAATAAACATGTTAAGAAGCTGCAAGATATTTTCCTTTTTATCTTGAAAACTTCCTCATTATAAGTCTATTGATCAGGATCCCGAGCCAGAAGCTTCTGAAATTACTGGTGTCATAGATCCAGTGATCCAAAGCAAGCAGCTGATGACCGTGCAACAGCGTACTTGGATCACAGTCTGAGGGCAACCTAACAGCTTACCACCGCCAAGAGCGATCCACTCCCTTGCCTTTTGACCCTGCTGCATGCCTCTGGTACCTTGTACAGGCGCTAGGAAGAAGCTCAGAGTGCTAAACTGTCTCAAACTCACTCCAACAAAATACAACTTTCCTGCCAGCTCAGCTTCTTGAGCCAGTCCACCACCACAGAACTACATAGGAGTTAGCACCTACGCAAGGAAAGTAGTGGGACTATCCCTTGGGCAGACACTAGCCATTAGACAGGCTTAGCTGTATTGTAAAAATCATAGAAAAAAATAATAGAAATAATAGATTTCATACTAAATCAGAAGAGGATGAGAGAAAGAAGACTGATCTCCGATATCAGGCAGTAAACAGAGGTTCAGCATAGTCCCAAAAAGTGATCTTTCTCATGTGGCTGGCTAACAAAAAAACATAAATAGGGCAATCCACATCTACCTGAAGTCCAAGGATTTCATCGATCGAAGTCTCTTGTTCCGTGGGGCCACTGTCTGTCTGTTTAGGAGCCTGTGTGACATTGCCATCACTGGAACACAGGAGTTAGTTTAGAATTCAAAAATAAAGTAAAAGGAACCACCTGTACATTTCATATGTATGCTTATTACCTGCCCAAGATTTTGTTAATGTTCTCAGCAAGCTTCTCCTGAAGAGATTTGTTGCTCAGGATTTTTTCTCTGGCATTTTCAATAACCAGTTGCTGGAAAGCACAGTTTTAAAGTGGTCAGATACCTGTTTTTATCATTGCTACAAAAGGAACGTGAATTTCTGACTTACTGGTAAAAATCAGTTCAACACAGAGAACACTCTTTGTAGTAACAGAAAACAATAACAATCTCTATTTTAACTATTTCATGTGATGCTAGTGCAAACTCATTCTCTTCCTGAAAAAACTGGCTTACCTTTTTGACTGTCTAGCATCCTTACTGTCCACTAAGTTGTCCATGACTGAAGAACATCTCTATGAAAAGCATCACAAAACATTCCTATACTCATACTCTCCTGAAGCACAGCAAGGCTTATTGTGCTTTCTGATTTTCATTGTCTAAAAATTACTATATTCTGACAGAATATGTAGCTATGCCATACGGAGTAGAAGCAGAGACAGTTAAAATATAAAACAATACATTTAACTTCTAAACTTGATGTCTATAATACTTACGATGAGCAACATATAAGGAACTAGCTTTCTTTAATTTGAATTTGTTTTCTAAATCTAAACACCTTCCAGAAGTGTATACTCACTGGGAAGTTACCATCTATGAATTCTTGAAGTGGCTCACTTTCTTTTTCTGCTATTACTTCATCAGTGTCTTGAGAACTTCTACTTATTGAAAGAGGCGCAGATGTTGCAGTGCTTTTCCTCTTCTGAGATTCACTGAAGCATTTCAGGAAATTTATGACATATTTTGTGAGAACATAACAAACAATGGAGGTTAATCAAATCTCTCCTCCTCCTCCTCCTCTTCCTCAGCAAGGGAAATATTTTAATCGACAGAAAACTAACCACATATTGTAGCCACAATAAAACTTTACACTTGTTTCATTATCTTGTACTTTGTCTGACCGCATAAAAATAAGTCAAAATTAAATATACGTAAAGAGTGGGTAAAAGAGCACAATGACAAACTGAATGTCATGCCCACAATTCAAAATAACGCAAAATGGATGGAAAAAAAATTAACTGTTCGTACAGGTTCTAATTAACTGCCTCTCAGGAAAGTGATTTGGGCATCATCATTGAAAATAAAACTCTCAAGGTACAACTGTTGTCAAAAAAGCTAACAAATGTTAGGCTGCATAAGAACTTAGATAATGAATATGTTTTTTTTTTTTTTTTTTTTTTTAAATCAGATGATTGGTGTGATCCTTTCTGAAACCACCATGACAATCAGCAGTGGCAATGAATCACCTACATGCAAAAGAAATCATGCAGGAATAGAGGGGATTTGGAAACAGTAAAAATGAGTAAGGATTTGGAAAATTTACAGGCAAAAAGCACTGATAAGATGGGGATTTATTCAGGGATAAAGACAACAAGTAGAACAGAAAAAGACTAGAAAACATAGTTCTCGCCTCATTAAAAACAAAGGGACACTAGAATCAAAGATCTATGCAAAACATAGTTTTTCATAGCACTTTTAGCAGAAAGTTTCATGTTCATGCTATCAAAATTTACCAGAGCCAATAGCTTCTCTAAGTTAAAAACATGTATATGTAAAAAAATGTACATTCATACATTTATATTGATACTTTTCATAATTGATTTTGGAAGGATTATTACAGCTCAGGCTTCAGAGCTTTCTGCCTGTCTTTAAAGCTCTAAGAAATAACGTAGAGGCTTGCTGTATGCAAGCAAGAAACACACGTAGCCTCCTATCAATCTAATGTTAGGTTCTTAGACGTTCCTCCGTGAAGTATCAGACGCTGGCCACTGTCAGTGGACCTTAAACCTGCAACAGTCTACCAACTCAGAAAAATTTGCACGAGTTTAAAACTTTGCACAATCTCTAAAACATCTGAAAGAAGTATTCACCTTTTTCGTCTTCCTGGAGATAGCAAGTTTGAATGAGGCTTTCGTTCTTGTGATCCTGGAACCTGAATGTGTATGAAATCTCCTGCTTTATTAAAAATAAATAAATAAATTAATCAATCATGACGCCAATATCTTTTCCAGTGACATTTGTAAGGCATTATATAAATCTACAGATTATGCAGTATGTTTGAATCAAATGCTGCTGGGAATTCACGAAAAATAATTTGATACTATCGTGAAAATGAGAAGCATTACTTTTAAACTTATCTTAAAATGTCCAGGTGATATCCTATCTAATAAAACAAGCTTTTGGGCAGAGGCTGAGAACACATGATAGAACAATGACAAATTGATGTACTTATGAACTACAAACCCACATTAGCAAACATACAAGAGCTACTTATCTTTTGGACATGCCTTTTATTTTAATCACCTGGACCATTCTGGACAGTCAGGGGAACAAAGCAGGAATCTCTTGGAAATTTTTTTTTTTTTTTTTTTTTTTTTTTTTTTTTTTTTTTTTTTTTTTTTTAAAGCAAAGGTGTCTTACACACAAATTTTTCAAAGACATAGAAAGGTTAAAAAAAGCGCAACTTACTGTTGATCTTATTGTCCTGTGTTTGTGACTGGTGCACAAACAAGGTATTCAGTCTTGTCTGTGATATACTTTGATTTATTGCTGGCCTATGCATAACTTGAGTAGCTATAACAGAAGAGGAACTCTGTTGTCCTGACTGATGGGCTATAGACAACAATCCTGAGTTTGGAGGAGCTGACTGCTGAAGTATTCTCTGTCTTTTCATTTCTACAATTCCACTTCTTGTACGCGCTAGAGATAATAAAGACAAGATGAAAATATATGACACTATCTTAAAAAGGCTGCAGATTATCCAAGTAATCGTCCTTGGACATCGACGTGTTAGATCTAATTAAGGACGCTCCATTAAAACTTGTTCATGCTTAAATGTTTAATTTCTGAAACTCAACCAGTAAGCAACCTCCATTTCTATCTTCTGTTTTACAGGCTTGAGCCAATGTAATTAAAGAAGTACAGATCACTTACACAGACATTGCTACCAGTATTACTGGTGCTCGTATCACTGCTTAAACACTTCTTGGACTAAATTACACCAACATGACATTTCACTATATATCATCTATATAAATGGCCTTACATGAAATAATTAAGCCAATATAATTACGCAATTATTTATCCGACCAAATCTGCTAAATTCAAACATCATCACACCACCTGATCTACTGAGTCTCAGGTCCAAGAACGGCCAATACCCATACTGCACCTTCGTTTTTCTCACACAAGTTCCCCAGCAGAAGTACTACAAAGATAAAAATTTATTTGCAAATATAAAATAACTTTTCCCTTCTGGGAGTTCATTTGCCAGATTTTGCAATGAAGGAAACACAATTCTAGCTGGAATGAGTATAACTTTTCAAATTTTGTTTAAATGTATGTCTGTACACGTATAAAATATTTGCTTTAAAATTATAATATGATTTTAAATTCCTCTTCTATGAAATTGAAACTGCATGACAATTAGACCGGTTATATTTTCACTTCCTCTGTGAACCACAAATTAAGTCAACCAATTCAGGAGTGAAGCAGCAGCTTTCAAACCTTTTAATTGCATAAACCTCTAAAATTTTTTCAGCAGAGGAGAAAACGCTACCTAGCCAGAGGCAAGCCTTTTCTTATTTTCCTTTCTTGATCATCATAGTAAGCCACAGACTGCCCTAAGGACAACAGGCATATGCTGAAAAGTCATTGCGATAGAGATTTGACAAGATTAAAATCTGCTCTTAAGAATATGGATAAATTACTGATTGCTGTAGCATTCCCTCATAGTTCCCACAACAGATAGGCTGAACATAAACCCTGTTGATCCCATGCAACTCATTCAGTTACTTACCCCTTTGATTAGCAGAAAATCCCGTGCAACTCTGCATACTCCTATAAAATAAAGTGGGTGACATAAATAAAAGGAGCTCTATGGAAACACCCAACTACCCATTGCGAGAGTATCATATGGCAAATTTCAGTCTGGCACCAATTTTGCACTATTTAAGATGGCTTTATCGACTGACTATTTGTTGTTGTTTTTTGTTTTAAACGATAGCTGCAGATTCTTCAAATAAAGCCTACTGTTAGTTTTCTCATTACATAACCACAATGGCAGCAGTTTCTATATAAAACATAGTATATTGTTTTATGACAGGAAGGCCGCACACAAAACCACACCAACACCCTCCTATCTGCTTAGCCCAAGCTTAAATTCTTGAGATGTCTACTCAGCCATTTACTTTCAGATCATGCATCTTTCACCATTTCTCAGAAATAATAAACACGGAAACCATTCTGATACGAATAGAAGAAGAATTGGTCAACATACAGCCTCACTCTTAAGGCAAAATTTCACATTCCTGATTTCAAGGCTGTATTACCTGATCTGAGAGAGCGTATAGTCTAATTTTTTCCACAGAGATGACATCATTGCTGGAACTTCATTTGTTGTTTCTAAAATAAACCATAAAAAAAATTTAGGTATTAAAATAGATACATGTTGAGAAAAAGTAAAATCACACTCAAAATAATTATTTTGGAGTTATTCAGATATCATTTAATTTTAGGTGTCTAGCGGCCTTCTTAATATCCTGCTAATTAGAGAGTCCAAACTCCTTAAAAAAAAAAAAAAAATAACTGGTTGATATGAACATACAGTCATCATGGATGCAGCGCTTAGTTTTAGCACGCTAAATGAAACTGAGACATTCATGCTGATGATTCTCACTGGAATCTTCATGTGACTTTGGACCCTGAGCCAACTCGCTAACCCAGCTTCATAAAACTCCCTTCTGAAAATGGGATTTATACTCCCAAGTCACTTGTGTGCTTTTGAAAATTTTAATCTAGGGGACAGCTCTTTAAAAGTTATAGTTTCTTTTAAGGTGTCACCCAAAACAGTGAAAAAAATGGTATTTTTGAAGCACAGAACATTAAAGAAAAAAAATGGAAAGAGGTAGACAGACCCATTTTCTTCAAGATGCCAAGTACAAATTATTTTGAAAAAACTACGTTGTGCCGTAGTAACCATTTCTATTAAACATAGTGAGAAAGGAAAAAAAAAAAACCCAAAAACATGCCAAATATGATATTTCTTAATCAAATACTCATGGTATTTCTTAACTACAAGACTTGGAACCAAGCACTTTAATAAAATCTGATTACACAACACATACGAAAAATTGGTAAGACTAGGTCAAATTCCGACACTCAAAACTGCTTTTAAAAATTAAACTGAAAAGTTCTAATTCCATCTCTGCCATCTACGCAAACTATTAAATTATTTTGAATTTTAATTAGTTTTACAAACCAGACAAGAAACATGTCATGCCATAGGACTCTCTCTTGTTATTTATCTCACAATAAACAGCTAAACAACTTTACAATCGTACACCCATACTTTCTGCATGCTTTATTGAATTTTTGTGCTTTATTACAGTAAGAGTTATCTTCAAATCTGAAGTGAATATATAGGCTGGCAATTCTAAAATTCTGATCTAAGTGGCAGTTAATCGTCTGCATGATAACAAGGCCTTCAGCTTTGAACATAGATGGGGTATTACTCTAAGTCCAAATACAGACTGTGGTATCGTCCCTTCCTCAAGTAGCTCATAATTTTGACAGATAAACAACAAAAATATATAAATAAATAAGTCTCACTCTGAAGGCTTACCTTTTGTTTTCATGGCTACATACTCATTAAGAATAGTTGTCAAGTTTTTTCCACACAGGGACTGGGGAAAAAAAATAAAAAGAAAAAGGCCCACTCATCTTAGAATCTTCCCTAATATATATACTCCATTCACTGTAACACATTATATTTAAGCTGTGAAAAAGACAGTCTTGGCATACTTAATTATCACGGTTCTTAAAAGACTACACCATGGTAACCTTAAACACAAAGAACTGTACTTGAAGCTGCTGGTGCTGAGTTGTCTCAGAAGGGGTAGAGAACAATCTATGAACCAAAACGTCATTCTGAACAAAAAATTTAAGTGTATGATCTTGTTGCACACCATTGGTACAGCACTCAGATCTGCATGACTTCAGCTTGACTTGTCTTTGTTCTTATGGACTAAAGACACAAGAATAAGATTAAGAGCACCTACCCTGGGTTAACCCTGGGTTAATATGCACCATCCTGGAACAAAGTGCACAAAGATGCAAACCTGAACAGAGCTGTTGCCTAAAGTACAATTACTATTATTAACTTTCATTTCATATTTATTTGTTCTGTTATTTTAGGTGAAACAGAGAAATAAAATTTTCAAATTATTGCTATCGTTTACTGTACCTTTCTGTCTTGTTTACTTGTAGCAACTCCTACAGCACATGCCTGACAAAAGCACTTTACTGAATTGCAAGTATTTTGCGCTGCAGTGAGTTTTTTTTCTTTATGCTATAATATCATCACCTTTCTATGAAAAATAGGAAAAAGGTATCTCTTGAGAAAAGGAAGAGAATCAAAAACTTAAAGAATACGAATAAATCCTTTCTACTTACAGTTGTTAGTCTAATTCTTCCTGGCCATAGCTTGGTTCTCAATTCCCTTCCCCCACTGCTCCCAAAGTATAGATGACTAAACACTTGTTAACGAAATAAGAAGTTCCATGCTCATACGTGTATCACGATCACTGATCTCAGAAGAGTTCCACACACTTTCAATATTGTGGACAAAATCCCAGACTACATGATTGAGTGGTACGTTAGAAAATGGAATGCAAAACGGGAAGAAGATACACATACAAATATCAAAAGTTTGATATATAGCAATATCCAAAACCTATAATTTTGTTACTAACTAAAAAAATCTCAGGTCATATATGCTGAAAGTGCAAAGCATCAAGTTGTCCTGTAGTTATATGCACCTATCTACGTACGCAGCTGCACGTTGTATTTATACCCATGCCCAAAGTTCCACGTTTCATCTGGCACAAAGCAGATCATACTGATTAAAGGGGAAGCTGAATCAAAACATAGCTGTTTTCACCAATTTTTGACACGCTCAAATAAAGCTGAGGCACCTTACCTAAATTAGTATTTACATGAAAGAGAACATTACTGACTGCTGTATCTAAAAAAAAAGGAAGTGATCTTCAATAAATCACTAGAGCAATCCTGAAATCAATTAAAATGCTTGGAACACCCTTGTATATATCAATCTTGAAAACAATGAAGCAGACTAAATGTAACATGCTGAACACAATTGGCATATTTTCCTCTTAACTATTTATTAGTAATGTTAAATATTGAAAGATGCTGAGAAATAGAGATGACCATCAAACTAAACAGCTTAAGCACCATTTGAGAAGCAACTGTTACACTGTTCATATGTATTCTGAAAAAAAACTCTGAAAACTCTTTTTGGGGGGAAAAAAAGGCTTCTCTTCCGCGGCTGTAACACAATTTAACTTGCTGTGTTACAAATACAAACTCACCAGCAAGCAGGCCGGAATAAACCCATCCTCTGTACAGTGCTCTGCATATTCTTTCAAATCTGAGCTTTCCAAAATAAATTCACGGCAGGTAGCTAAAAGCTTTTCCTGTTGTAAATACCCTGCAATAAATCAGACAGAAAACTTTGCTATTTTATTCATTATTTCTGCATGTTGTGCTTGGTAGGTATTGAAGCATTAATACGACCAACTATATGATATAACGTTGGAACAATTAGATAAGGATTCATGCATTAGATAAGGAAACTGAAGTCATTATGAAAGAACACCTATCTTGCAACGTATTCCTTTAATAGTTAAAACCAGAAAGAGCACATATTATTAACATTGTACTGGATTTACAAACTGTTCAAGACTAGAAGTGAGACAATATGAACAATTTCTGACTGATCGTTAGTACACATAGCACTGTACAGACAAGAAAGAAAATATCAACTTCTTAAGTCAGGAATAAACTCACACATGGGTTTTGATTATAAACATCTAGTTTTATAAACAAATAGAATTCTATAGTACTGTATTAATAAAATGCATTGCTGTGCAGCAATAACTCTCCATAAATTCTCCAGCTTCAGAACAGGTAGAACATATGCATCGTTAAGACAGCGCATTAGATTTCTTCCAAAAATGACATTATATAAAAATTATTTTTACAAAATCAGTATTTTGTTTTTCTACTTACCGTAATTTTCATTTTTAATAGGTATTCTAGTGTACACTTGTACACTTTATATACCCTACCCCAAGACTCAGTAGTTATCTTACCAGGAACTATACTGAAAAAGTTCACTTTTTCAAAATCCCAGTCCTCAGTTAATATGCTCTTTTAAGGTATTTTAAATCCCGCTTTAATCTTCAAATAGTCTAAACGCTAAAAGGTAAAGCTAGATCAATCTGAGTAAAGGATTACAGAACAAAAGAGCCATAAAACAAAATATCGTGCCTTTTCTTTCTTATCTGTAGCAGAACTGCATACGCAATCGTTTAAAGAGTTAAAATACACATACCTAATCATATTCACACAGAACCCCAAAACAGCCTGCCTCAGTTCAGGAAAGTCCATAGAAAAATCCTGCCTTTAAGTTCACATGAAGACATAATATCTTTTATCAGATCCAAGCATAGCTAGAAAAAGTAGATCAGCTTTCACACTCACAGGCCTCCGACAAATAAACTTCAAAGTTAAACACAGTTTGAGAATAACTGCTGAGAGTTTCATTAGGATGTACGAGCTAGCCCATATGGGACAAAATGTAGTTGGCACCTGCGGAATAGAGAGGGCTGCCATATTTAATGTTTCAAATACATTTTGTTAGAAAATCCTCAAACCACAAATTGCTAGAAGCTGAGGGCACACTGGGGGAAATACACCTACATGCCTGTCTTATGCCTGTCTGCTGTACCATCCATTGCTGACCAGTATTACAGACAGGGCATTAAGCTAGATGGGAGTTCGACTGTAAGAACAGCCATACCAGCACAGATCAAACCCATCTTCTGGATCTTTGCTAAAAAACAGTTGCAATTTCTTTCTTGAGCCTCCTATTGCGAAGGATGACTGAATGCCAGCACACAGGCCTATTTGGCACATACATCAATTTCCTGCAGATAACGGCGACTGAACTTAAATTGTCTGTGCACGTACATTACAATAACAGAATCATATACAACCTTCAACATTACCAAAA